AATTCTCCAAAGCAAACACAGATATGGTTTCATACTAGAACAAAACAAAAGTCTGAAAAGCTTGGGGTTTATTTTATGTCTTACACCAAATGAATTGTATTAAAATCCATTAAGAAACACTGATCTGCCTGTAAAGCTAGCTAGCTAGCTGAGCACCATCAACAGTGCATTCAGACTAACTAGCTTGTGAGTCTGCATGACAACACAGATTAGCCTGCAGCTCCAAACATATGCCCTACTAAACTGATTTGTTCATGACTGACACACAGGGACAGAGACAAAAAGAGTCCCAGGGGATTTCCAATAAAACATTTTTACACAAAAATATTCTACATAGGGTTCATTTGGAAGGAAATTTGCAGAAAATGCATAAAACACTTGATAATTCATGGTGTTTAATGAGCAGACAAGAAGAAAACAAGCTTATTAAGTAATTTTAGTTTGACAGAAACAACAAGGTAGTGACACAGTAATGTCTTTTTGATAGGTCTTAATTGTAGGTTTGGTTTAGGTGGGAGTGAATGCCATCGTATCCACTCCCATCGTGGACTGTAACTGTTCCCACTGACGAACACTTGAGGTCTGGATTCCAAACCCAAAAACTGAGATCTCAGTAAATACATAGCAAAGTTCAAATGATGGGGGAGGAGATGTTTCCTTTCCCCCCTAAAGGACAGTGGAACTTCCTTTCAGTGTTCCCAGAGGCATCACAATATTCCCATGCTGTGTGATAACAGCCTACAGATGATAGCAGCTAAAGAAGGCCTGATATCATATCCTATATGACCCATTCTCAGAGCTTCTCCAATGAACGTCGCAGATCTTTGGGGCCAGGCCCGTCTGGCATGAATGGTGGCCTCTGTTACAGAGCTGCCAGCCTTCCACCACACCCCAAACCCAAGCAGTGGCACAGAGAGGACAGAACCGCTCTTATTCCAAAGAGTAACATCGAATAACTTCCACTAAAAGAAGGCAGCAGAGCAAAATAACTTCACTGTACTGTACCAAATCAGCAAACTGACATTAAACAGCATCCACTGGAACTCTCTCACTAGAGAAGCCATTTTATTCGTCCACTTCTTTCCCATCAGTTGTGACAGTGACTGGCACCAGATGTTCTCGGAGTCAAATTTTCATAAACCAGGATAAAGGGATTCACTTAGGAAGCTTTGAGAAAAGCCAGTAAACGCACAAAGAAGTTAACTTCAGTCGGCTGAGACTTTTTATTACACCCCCATAAGAATGCCAAACCAATGCCACTAAATTAAAAAGAGGCCCCAGCATATATTTGGACTGACCACTGGAGAAACTAAAACTCCCCCCGAGCGCTGAAAGAAACGAGAAGTTAATATCTCACTCTGGAGGCAGGAAGGTGATTACTACATTACTCAAAATATGGAACCACATTTATCATGTGTGCTTCTTTGTCATGGTAAAATGTCACAGTGTTTTCAAATGGATTCTCACACACACACACGTTTACAGCTGCTCGGCCTTGATCTGTACACCATATTCTGAAATCAGTCTGTCTAGACATTAACCGACTCCCACGCAATCTACTTTCAACACACACACACACACACACTATGAAATGAGAACCATTGTTATTGAATTTCTTGTCTTTTTTTCACGTCATTTTCACAGTTTCAAAGCACATCTCCAAACGTCGCCCATGTGGAAAATCTCACACACACACACACACACTGATTGTATTTCATCTCGTTCAGAGGCGAGGGGACAGGGAGGAGGGGGGTGAGTGGAAAAGTATTCACGGTACAGGCTGGGGGAGGAGGGGGACCAGGTCTGAGGAAAGGTCCTGAAGTGTCGGGCTCAGATGGTTCAGAAAGGTTAATGAATTGGTTTTCTCTCCACATTGGAGGATCGTTTGGCAGGTTGGCTCCAATTCAATTAGGTGCCCCCCCCCCTCTTTTCTCCTCCCCAGACAATGTAAATGAAATATGGGGATTTAATAGACGACTCAATGCTTCTATGGGCAGTGCAGGGATGTTTAAAAAGCATTACTGTAACATGCTTAGCTCATGTCGGTGCATTACTTTGAGGCTTTCTGAAAAATTTCTCTGTGGACATACAATTGTTGATTTCCAACCCATTCTGATATAAGATTACTGAGATAATTAAATCACAAGAGTCTTAACTGAGAGCATGTTATTAAATCACTTGAAACAACCAACCATACAGGGCCTCCACTCGCTCAGAGTCCTCCTCCATAGTGCTGAGTGGTACAGTAAATTGAAAACCTGCTAAATCCATTAGCCTAAGACCTGAGTGTCTTCATCCATATGGCTCTGGAAACGTAAAACCCGTGCGTGATAAAGCAACGACAGGAAAAAGAGATCACGACAGAAGCATATATCAAAGCCATTAGACTTACAGATGGGGAAAGCATGCAGACATGAATGATGAAGCTGTATGTACGCATGACTGAACAGAATTAATGCAGCCCTGCTTCATGGACATCCTGTTTTCGTCTGCCCCAGTCGACTGACGATCAAATGATGGATAATCTGTTCGTCTCTTTCTAAGTAAAACTCGCTTCTGTTCTGGGATTCTGTGTCTTAGCCTCCTTCTGAACATTTGTAATCCGAGTCTTCACTCTGATTAGATTCTAATTATCAAGCCTCTTAATTCTTTAAGTGGTTTTTATTACTTCCTCCAAGCAGGTTATGTTTTCACTCCTGTCCGTTGGTTTATTTGTTTGTTTGTTCGTCAGTTTGATTTCACAAAAAATATTCAACACATCTCCATGAAACTTGTGTGTGAAACAGTGGGACATCAGATCCAGGAGTTTATTTTATCACTTTCTTTGACACAGTGGGAGAGAACCAGCAACTAGAGTCCAATTTATAATTTATTATTATTATTACATATCAAATTTGATAACTGACTGTCATTCTCTGCCCATAAAGAAGAGTTAAAACCAGAACCGTAACTCTGTGGCATAAATGTGTCTTTATAATTATAGATATCGATATCGACTGATAAGAAAATTAGTATGTTAGTATAATTTGTTTTGTTGTTTCTTGTCACCCAGCTCCATCTGTAAAGTTAACTTCCAAACCTCAAACTCTCACATAGTGATAACCCTTGTAATCAAGAACCACATGACATGACAGTGGTTTTTGTCAAACACAATAAAATACCATCTCATCACCCGCTCACTGACTCAGAGATGAGTAAAGGCCCTAAAAGATCATCAAGGGACGCAGACAAAGCCGGGAACACAAAGATTATAACCTGTAGGTGGTGTCTGTGAGGCAGAGCAGACACATGGGGCTGAACAATAGTGTGACCACGAGGTCAAATAGAGCGATGCCGGGACAAATAGAAGTTTAAAGAAAGACTGTCGATGAACTTACAATGTCCTCACGAAGCTTAACCACCTGGATTATCCAGTAGTATTGCATTCAATGGCCAAAAAGCCTATTTTAAATTCTCTGAATGAAAATTTGGAAAAATGGTTGGTAATACCCAACAAACATGCTGGACCCTGGACAATGAAGACAAAGGGTGTGTCCTGTAGCTAATAGTGTCACAGAGAAGCCCCCGGTAATGTCCTTAACCCCTCCCATCATCTCATCATCCACCAACTGGTCACGACTTAACCCGAGCAGAGTCACTGACCAAACCAGCGGCTCCACAGAGAGATAATTCAGCCGGCCTAGCGCAGCTTTTGTAGGCTTATAACGTCAAAGTCTACACAATAGGCTGATTGTTTAAATAAGATGACTCGGGAGTGATTAACAGGATCTTTAGAATCAAAGGAAAATGAGATCTAACACGGCAACGGGCCAATCACAGACAATTCTCATCTGACAGCAGATTTCCTAAAATTGATCAAAATACTTAAAAAGATAAACGTCGAAAACCACTCAGGGTTATTATAACACTTAGAGAATCTGGCTAGAAGCTTTCTGACACATCATTGTTATACAAGTTGATATTTCTTTGTGTCAATGCGACATGATCATTATTAGGCCCCGAGGATCTAGAGTGTGGGAAATCTGCGTCAGTGTGGCTGCTTTGACATGATAACATTCCTGCACTGTCGCCACAGCGTGCTGGGTCATGCTCCGCTACTTGTAATCAGAGACACAGATGAGACACTATAGCAACGTTATGAATCATATTCTCTCTGCACCGTTTTAATTTGCTGAGCTCACGGGTTTTACAGTGAGCAGGACAGCTGCACACAGCGACAGTAACAGACGCTGATGAAGGAGGAGGTCAAAGTTTGGCTGTGGGTAGACGGCGATTGTTTGGCCTGTGACAAACTTTCGCCTCTTGTCAATTCCAATCCGTGCGAGCAAGGGGGTGAATGAAACATTTGATTCCTGCGGCGAGGCAAATCGCAGCGTGGCTTTGTGTGAATTTCAACTGTGAACTTTGACCCGACATTTTCACTTCACATATCTGCATTTTCCTTCGTCAGTTAACATTTAGAACATTGATGTCTGAAGCTTCCTCGAGAAATGCACCTCCATCCTCCCTCACATCTCTCTGACTAAAGCTACCGGACAAACTGAATCCATAATGAGACGTAGATCAAGATCATCATCCAAGAGGGAAACGGAGAACGAGGCGTTTTTTTAGAGATAAAAAAGAAAAGTAAATTATCAGCAGAACCACATCAGTGTTTCACATTCCTGGTTCCTCTGTATATTCACTGGTCCGTCTCCAACATCTGGATCAGGGTCATGTTACCGCAACACAAACACCCACACACACACACACACACACACATATCTGCAAATACATCTCTGTGTCTACTGCCAAGTCTTTATGTGGTACATGCTTGTGGACACATTTCTGTGTGTGTGAGTGTGTGTTTCTTCACTGTAACATAAGATGGAAGATGTTTGAATGTGGACCACAGACATGAGCATAGAATTATTATTCATCATGATGTTTCCCTTATCAGCAGATCCACTTTCTTTCCCATCAGATGACTGCAATAAAAGTCAAAGAAGCAAAAGTCCTACCTGATAATAGGCTTTAATCTGCCTGATGAGAATAGAAAGGTTCTGGATGCGCAGTGTGGGGTCATTGTTCACTTTCTTGTTGGTCCTCTGCACCGTGGCCTTAGGATTTCTGTGGACAAAAACATGACACATATGATTATTTAAAAACGGTTTATAGCAAAGATAAGTGAAGATTTGGACAGATTTGTTTTAAAGCTTGTGTTTCTGAAGCTGCTTTCAGACGTGCACTGAAGTCCGGATAGTTTCCTGAAATCTTTCCAGAGGGGTTGTATGTGAGAAATGCAAATGTCTGAGTCAGTAGCTCCAGAATTCTGTTGCCAGCCCCCTGATTAAATGTCTGAGTGAGCCCATGTGAGAAAACAGCAGAAGAATGTGTGGAAACTCCACCTGATGGATGCAAAAATTAAAAAAAAGAATACATTTCTCGAGAAGATGCCAACAAAAGAAGTAAACTTGGAAAGACAACAAGATGTGAAAGCTTTTGACGATTCCACTGTGGAATTAATGCGTCATGTCGCCTCCTGCATCTTCAACTTAGGTGCCACCTCTCACGTGCATGTTCCAGATATTTTCTGACCCAGACCATCTCCTGCTGCACCTCCAGAAAATGTTCAGACCCAATTCCCCAGACATTTTCATTTCATATCTGGCAAAAGCTTCAGTGCGTTTGCTCTGCTGTGTGTGATGGGACGTGTGTGTTTGACTGAAATCATTAGCAGCACAGTGACAATGGGCCCTTTGTTTATGTGTCATAAGCCTGTTTAAGACACAGCAGACACATGAAAAGACAAATAAAGAAGCTGTTCTTCTCATCTGGTGGCTCCTGTGATCTTCAAATTAAATAAAGTTTAATCCAATTCAACATTTTTGTGGAGCGTTTATATTTGTAGTAAACATTAGATGATAGATATTTGTTTTTCAAAAATAGGCACCGTCTGTAGACTGCACTTCTTCTGAGTGGGGTTTTCATGAAGGAGTTCACATCATCTAAGCTAAAAGTAATAAGGTCAACGATTCTCTCATGATCTCCATTTCTTCTTGTTTGTCTTAATCAAACACAAGAGACATCTTCTTAGTTCTCGTACAACACAGATGCTGTGTGTTGTTGTATGTTGCTCAAGGGACTTTTAAAAAGGGGCATGCATGACGAGCGACGTTATCACGGGTGTCAACATGTTTTATTGAGCCTCACACATTCCTCAAATTTCCCACAAATTTGCATATATATTGAAATCACCGTCAGAATATCAAACCTCATCTCACAAAAACAAGAAGGTACATTTACAGTGTAACTAAACTAAGAGCGTGTTTACAAGAGAAATGTTGAACAGACTAACTCTATGCAAGACATCGGCCTTAACGTCATGTTTACTGATGCCCCGAGGGAAATTCCTATTTCCTAGACAGCCCACAGAGGCGGTGACAAAGTCACTCTCCAGCTGACGTGGTTTCACTGAGTGGCAGACACTTGAGAAAATGATCGAACAAGCGCGTGAGACACAAAAATCAGTAAGTTCAAAAGTAAAGTGTAAAGTAAGAAGAAGGCTTTTATTTCTAAACCAACTTAAGTTTGTTCTGCAGAAAACAGGGGATTAATGTGCCTCGGAACGCCACTAGTAGATCTCTAACTTTCCAGTAAATCCCAAAATAAATGTTGCCTTATTTTTACTGCAGCTGAAAGTTTTATTGTAATATGATCAAAATGAGTCGAATAACTAAAATAGCAGGAGCTGAATATTTATACCTAATCCACCCATCCCCCCCCTTAGAGAGAGAAAGTGCTCTGTGTGCATGAGGAGAATGTGTGTGAGCAGGTGAGACGTGCTGTTAACTAAATCCTGGGATCAGCAGTTTATTTTTAAAAGGTTAAAGGACTATTCCCCCTCATGAAAACAAAACAAATCCCCCACTGGGTGTAAATCCTTCATGTATCATTATAAATGAAGCATTGTATCCTCACTGGTATCACAATCTATTGAAAGAATTAAAATACGATTTTATTTGTGGGAAACATTCAGCTGTAAATTCCATCATCTATTTGAAATCATTACAGAATTTTGACGACAGCGGACCAGCTGTCACAGCTGAAGAAGCGCTACGAAGGCTTGGCTCTCTGTGTGGGTTGAGATATATGAATTAATAATAACCACTAAGAAATTTATATTATCCCAGTTACAGGTGACATGTTCCAGTGTAAACAGTTGTAACATCCAAAGCTAAATTTGCAGTAAAATGAGAAACAGTGTGACTCTTAACATAACTGCTTGATTATACAATCAATTATCAAGATAAATGTCGCAGTATCTTAATAAACAGGCATAAGAAAATGTATTAGTTATGATAACTTCATAGTATGCTTGGTTTTCTTGCACCGCGGGGGCAACATGTTGTGACAGTGTCATCTTTCATCTATTGTGCATCAAACAGAAAAAGGGGGAAAACAGTGAAATCCCACCAGCGCTCCTTTAAAAAAATGACTCTACCTGTAATTTATTAATGAGATATTTGCTTTGGGGTTTTCCAGTAAAGCAACACTTCTCATGTACTTCAGATTTTCAGAGCCCAATATCAACACTATGAGAGAGCAACTCTCTATTTCATCACACACCTTTCAGACTTCAAAGCATGTACATCCCATGACCTATATAGAAGGGTCAATGTGCTGCAAGTATGGGGGAGGAGAGTCCTGGCTGCTTGTGAATGTATGCATGCATGTGCAGTGTAGCACATGTGTAGTCATGCATGTGTGTGCATGTCTGCATCTGTGGTCTTGCACCCTAGAATGGCACGACCATGTCTGCATCTGTGTACAGCTCAAACAATCCTGAAACACAGCGAAGGTGGTCTTTAATCAGGGTTTTCCTTTATGCATATTCATCTTTCTTGCTCTGTCTGAGAGAGGAGGTCAAATGTGAAGGATTCCTCATCTTGTTAAAGGACGTTGGGCTTGGTGGATGCTTGCAGTCACAGGGGACTTCTGGTTGAATAGAATCTTTCTAGTCAATTAACCATGCCGCTGCCCTGTTTCTACTAAGCGTACATCCGTTTCACAGAAAGCAGTGTTGTCAAGAATTTTCTTAAATGTTCTCTACTACGCCAGAAGTATCACGCAAAATAAAGAACACGGACAGAATTTTTGGTTTCAAATGAAAAAGCTGGTCTCGAGTCAATTGGCTGCAGTGTAGACGGGTTAATTAGGCTTTGAGTCATCCTCAGCCATCATACACACACACACACACACACACACACACACACACACACA